GTCTAACAAACGCATCRCAATTCGTTTGGCTGATGTCAATAAGTCATGAAATAAGTACAATATCTGGCGATCGGCACCCGAAAAAATCCTAATTTGTAATTGTGGTTGTCGTCAGCATTTTAAAATACCAATATCATATTACACAGAGATATAAAATAATTACACGACCAGAGTCTATCGTMAAAATATAGTTTTTGTCACATGAATCTATACAAATACGATAAAATTTATAAAATTATTGTTTTAGAAATTAAAACAAATAGGTTCCATGACTACTTGTATGATGATAATACTCTTCAATAATAAAAATAAAAAATAAAAACACTTAACTCCCATGACAATATTTTCAGTACACTGATTTTGATGTTTATAATTCTAAAATGAATTACATAGGTACCTACCAAAGTTTTTTTATTTAATATTCACTGACTACTTAACTGACTGCATTGTTTTTAATAAAACTAAAATTAAAAATAAAAACACTCAAGTACCTACATTTTACTCGACATAGAATATTTTTTTTTCATTGATAATAATATGATACTTTTTTAGAGTATAATTATTCACTACTACACCATATTATTTTAAGTCAAATACTCAAATTACCCTCTACACCCCCTTACAGTAAAGCACGAATCAGTTTCAAACTCTTAACATATAGGTACGTAAAGATTATCATTAAAAATCTGTATTATAATAATATTTATAATTTGTACTGAGTATTTTACTATTATAATTTTCTTTAGGAGAAACACGCGAACACACAATCAAACGCGAGTAATATAGATATAGTTCTAGTACCTATAAGGTATTGTTGTCAGAATACCTAATTCATAACAGTCCATTATTACATAATACACACGCTATGATATGCGCACATTGCACTCACAGACCCGGGAACGGCTGCCCATAACCGAAAAGCAAATGTTTGTATTTTATTTGTTGAAGCTATTTCAGACAAATAGATTTATTATTTTTTTTTATTATTAAATATTATGCGAAACTATATTATTGTATCATAATAATATGTCGAGGTAAAACGATTATAATATTATCATGTCACCAATAGAGTGAGAGTGGTGTCTGTATATTAATACATTGCACATATTTCAATTGCAACGTTATAATATTATWATATTATAATATATAATTATATTATTTAGAATTATCGAAATCCAGAACGATTTCATGAGGAATGACCCGTTCCCCTTATACAGGAACAGAGATGTGTTTACGGGTTTTCCGTAGAATCCTCAAGCTGTTAATGTTCGAATGTTAGGGAGTGGAATCGAAACCTATCTTTTGACTTATTCGTGATGACGGGCGAGATTCAGGAAWCAACAGCGTGATATAAAAAATGGAAGTCTTGAGTATCTTAGGGAAACCCATTATTTATTAAAAATGATAATTATAATATTCCCACCGCCGTTCACAGGTAAAGTAATCAGGGTAAGTCCAATTCAATATTAATCTCAAATTTGCGAACAAATGGTTCGATCCCAATGTAGCGATCTGCTGACTTGAAAAGTTGAATTAAGAAAAAATATCAACAATTAACAATCTTTCAAGTTAAAAACGGAACATCCGGAAACACACCGTTTGTATTATAGGTACAGTAACTATATATATACATTATACAGTGTATACAAATATAGTAGTACCGTAGTAGACGCAATTGTTGAGCAGTCGCGCCCTGAGGATAAACGGATACAAAACAGGATGTAGGTACGTATATAATAAATATACATATATACACGGGGTGACAGAGACATTTATAAGAAAACGTCATTTCCTTCGCGGTATCCGACCGAACGAGGTAAGACATCATAAATTTTGGCTGACAGATACTGACGCGAACGCATTAAAGGTTCCGGGTCAAAAGATGGCGGAGATTAATTCGGTTTTTTCACATACTCACACACACACACACACACACACACACACATCCAGTACATACCACACAAGCAGCGTGTGAGAATATATATTATTTTGATGTCGTTATAGAAGGTACTTGCGTGGTGTACAAAACGGAAAAATCACGATATACGAMAAAAACACACGACATCGTGTAACAAATTGTTTTTAAATGTTCA